ATGGAGACTTGTTCAAAGGCCGGACAGTATGTGTGCAAGAGTTTTGAAGTCAAAATATTATCCAAAAGGTAATATCATGGATACGGTCTTCCCCTCGGATGCATCTCCTGTTTGGCGAGGGATTGAACATGGGCTTGAGTTATTAAAGAAGGGCATGATATGGAGAGTGGGAAATGGAAAAAAGCATCCAGATTCGTAGACATAATTGGATCCCTCGCAAAGAAGGGATGTCGGTCATGTCCCTCAAGAACAGAAGCAGAATTTGTTGGGTCAACCAATTGATTATTCCAAACACTAATGAGTGGAATAGGCCTTTGATTCATAGTTTGTTCCATGAGTTTGATGCTCTAGAGATTTGCAAAATTAGGATACCATCAAGTCCTGTTGATGATGTGCTAGCGTGGAATGATGAAAAGGATGGTATTTTTACGGTCAGAAGTGCATACATTTTGGGGCTGTACCTAAAAAATGCTACAGGCTGGGAAGAATCATCACATAGCCACGGCAATGGAAGGGTGTCTCTGTGGAACCTCATATGGAAAGCACACATCCCGCACAAGATCAGAATTTTTGCTTGGAGAACTGCTACTGATTCCTTAGCAACAAAAGAAAACAAATTGAACCGGACTTTGGAACACGATAGTATTTGCAATATTTGTGGTAGGGAGCCTGAGGATGCTTACCATGCTATTGTTCACTGTACTAAAGCTAGAGCTATCAGAGAAGCTATGAGGGAAGTCTGGCCTTTGCCAAAAGAAGAATGCTTCGATCGTTCAGGACCCGATTGGTTGCTGATGTTACTTAGCCAATGTGATAACACCTCCAGAGAGAGAATCTTGTTGTTGTTATGGAGAGCCTGGTACTTACGTGATGATATAGTGCATCATAAAGGTACTGCTTCCATTGCCGATTCTGTCATCTTCTTGTTTAATTATTGGTACTGCCTTAACGAAGACATTAGTTCTTCTCATGACTTGAAGGGCAAATGTCCTGTGGTTGCAATTCCTAGAGCGAAGTCTGAAGCTAGTGCCCATGCTTCCAATTGGACCAGGGCCCCTGTTGGCGTTATGAAGGTAAATTCTGATGCATCTTTCATTGCTACTTCGAGTTTGGCAGCGGCTGGGGTCCTTGCAAGAAACAGCAATGGCGAGGTCTTATTTAGTGCGGGCTGGATCCTCCCCGAGTGCAGTGATGCTGAAGAGGCTGAAGGACAGGCGATGCTTTTAGGCATGCAAACTTTGGAAAAAATATATGTTGGTCCGACGATATTCGAGACAGACTATGCGGCTGTTGTGGAGGCCCTCAATGCAAAGTCTGGGATCAGGCCAAGATGGTGGGCTACTTATAACGATTCCTTGGAATTGTTGAAGAATTCCCCATCCTGGTGAGTGAAAAAGATTGGAAGAGAGAGCAATGTGGCTGCACATAAACTTGCTGCTTACGCTAGATCTAATGGCAGTTTTTTATGATGAGCAGTGTGCCATGTAGTATAACTGATGTAATCTTGAAAGATTGTACTCCGGGTACATGTAATATATAAAGCTCTCTTTTCCCCTCAAAAAAAAAATACATCAGCAAACAAACACATACTATTGGGGATTAGAAGGGGATTGGGTTTCTGTCTAGGGTTAGGGTTGAGGATCGAGGAAGAACGGGCCATGGGGATGAAGCAAGAACTGCTTAAGGGGGTGGGGAAGCCTGCCGCGACAACCACCATGAGAGGGAGCGCCGTGCGCCGTGCTGCTCGGGAAGACGGCGGCCAGGGGCGGCGAGCGCAAAGGAGGTGGGTGCGGTCTGGAAGGGAAGGAGAGGGACGTGCCCACACGCGGGGGAGGAAGTGATCCGCCGGAGAGAGAGGAGACGAAGGAGACGGCGGACGAGATCTGACCTGCGCCGCCAGGAGCTCCGCGTCGGGGTCGTGCGCGCCGCTTCTCCCGCTCGAGCCCGCCTCTTATGTTTCGGGCTGTTTCTGGAGAGGTCGAATAGGTATGTTGCAGGCTGGTTCCCGAATATCAGCGAAAATCGAGCTCTCCCCCTCCGAATTCGGGAAGGGATACGCGGGCTTTCAGAGCGGGTCAACGAATATTGCAGGCCAATTCGGTGGGCTGATTCCTTGTACATCTAAACAGCAGAATTCGGGCTATCCAATGCCAATATCAATATCTGGGCCTGAATATCAACATCCAAACGAAGTGTCATGTATTAGGCAGTAACCTAGCTATATCGTTAGTACTAAAGTACTCTGAACTTACTTGCTGATGACATTTACATGTATTGTATGTCTTGTTTCTGTTTCTGTTTAGTCTCTATAGAGTTTTTATCTGTTCATATTTCCCAAAAGAAAAGTGTAATGTTCCATAGGCAACATTTTGGAAAAACTTTCTAACCTGTAGATGTACGAGTGTTGCGTGTATAAAGTTGAAAGTGTCCTTTTGTTACAAATTATCTGCGCTGACCATGTGTTTGTTCTTCAATGTAAAGAAATAACAGGCGAGCACACAGGAACCCATAGCTGCATGGTTTGGATGTTGGAAGACCCGTGGACAAGTAGGAGTAATTGGGAATTTCAAACAAAAGAGAATGCCTGGACCTATGGAAAAACGGCTGAGATTTGTGGTGTGTCTGTAAGACATGTTGTATCCAGATTTCTCGGATTCTAATCAACTTAGTGGCTTGATATTTCGAACTGATACAGCTAAACCAAATGCCCTTTTGGCATCCGATGGGTTGTAGAGAGCTGGACTTTGAGGCAGCTCAGACCATTTCCTTAGCAATCTTCGTCACAAGACATGTTGAAGCTACATCTGAATGCTTTGGTGCGGTTAGACATGTTGACTGATGCGTCGCCGTTTTGGTGCATGTGGCGTTGCAGATTCAAACACCTTGGGCTCCCTCTCTCCACATTTATGCGTTGGCATGCTGCACTGCACCTATACGGCCAGACAGTGATAAATGAGGCAAGACAGTGATAATCATCAGCACCAGAACTCCATGATGCTAACCCCAAGACAGAGTGTTAAACAATGAGACAGTTCAGAATCGGAACTTTCGCCAGTTGATGCTGGTGTTGTTAAAACATTCTAGTACTACCATCCCACTCCTACTTGTTTTTTTTTAGAAAAAGGAGGATGACCCCCCGGCCTCTGCATCTGGGAGATGCATGCAGTCATTTTATTGATTATTCTCGAGGATCTTACAAAGTAGAGCAACAATATGCCTGAATCCGCCATCTTGGCAACATCTGCCGCTACTTTTATCCAAATGATGAAGGGGTGCAAGCTGGGCCACGTACCCAGACCTCTCACCTAAACCTAACATCTAAACCGGAGGCCCCGCCCGAGCCATCTGCCGGGTCCGGAGCTCAAACCGGTCCGACGCACTCACATGTGTCGTCGCCGCCATCTCCCGCTCCTACTTGTAGCCACTGGCCATCAGGTTGCTATCTACAACTCCGGACAGCCAAAAGAATACTGATACTATGTAGAGCAGAGCAGAGTAGTGACAGACTAACTAAACAGAAGAGTCTAGCTAGTGCAGCAGCTGCTTCAAGTTTAGAGTTACTGCTTGGATCCCCTGATCGGCCAAGCAGAACCGGGGAATCGGGGAAGACTCGATCACACTCGACTTCTCATCCAGATTGTGGATCTGCTTCTTTAGCTTTCTCCACACGGTCCAACCAACAACTGATTCTTTCCTAAACATTGGAACATGACTAGCTAACGAAAAATCTTCAGGCAGAAACAGCATTGTTGTGTGTTTGAAATAGGATGGCTCCTGAAACTCTGTGTACTCAAGGCCATGTTCTTTTGGACTGCTGCTTGTGCACAAGCAACTTCTTCAGAGCTGTCCACAGAAGCTGTTGTGGAAATAAGCTCCAGAGAAAAAAAAAACCTCCCATTTCTTTTCGGCTTTTGTCATCTGAGCTTATTGTTTGATATGCTTGATGAAAACTCTAAAGTGCCCTTGAACCGTAATTTTTTGCATATAAACTCCCATAATGGATGTTCGAGTACCCACCTCCTCTGGCGAAGAGACCCTCCCTACCCGCCCGGTAAGAGCGCTCTTCGCGTTGTCCCTTCTCGCGCGTGAGGCCCACTGCAACACGTGAGGCAGGCAGCTCAGGCTCGCTCGTCGGTTGGCTTTGGCCCCAGACGACGGGGTCCAGCCGGTTTGAGAGGGCCAGCTGGCTAGGGTACTTCCATCTGGCCAAGGGCCGCAATGAGAAGAGGCCGGCATGCGCGTGCAGGGTCTAGCCGGTTCAAAAGAGCTAGCTGGATAGGGT